GTGCCCAGTGACAGGACAAGTGGCAATGGGCACAAACTGAGGCACAGGAAGTTCCGTCTGAACATGAGGAAGAACTTCTTCCCTTTGAGGGTGACGGAGCACTGGAACAGGCTGCCCAGGGAGGTTGTGGAGTCTCCTTCTCTGGAGATATTCAAGAGCCGCCTGGACAAGTTCCTGTGCAGCCTGCTGTAGCTGACCCTGCTTTGGCAGGGGGGTTGGACTAGATGACCCACAGAGGTCCCTTCCAACGCCTACCATTCTGTGATTCTGTGATTCTGTGATTCTGTAATGTGAAATTCAAAAAGAAAGTACCTGAAAGAGACAGAAGAAAGAATTGTACTTATCTGAGGTAGCACAACAGAAAATTCTGATAGCAATTGCTGTAAGATGAAGCAGTTCTGTGATTCTGTGATTCTGTAATGTGAAATTCAAAAAGAAAGTACCTGAAAGAGACAGAAGAAAGAATTGTACTTATCTGAGGTAGCACAACAGAAAATTCTGATAGCAATTGCTGTAAGATGAAGCAGAGATGAACAGAATTACAGACAAAAAAAAGAAAACAAGTTACTAATATGAATTCAGAGAGATAATCCATGAAGATTAAAAATAAAACAATCTAAACCCTCAATATGACAGCTTTTCTGCAGCACAAGGTTATTCAGAGAATATTTCAGAGAGTACTGTTCTATACTGACAGCACAAAATAGAACACTGGGATAGGAATACATGATAGCAAATACGTAATATAATAGGAATTATACATATATCCAGACTGCCCATACATATGGAGGTAAGAGCTCATCACAAGCTGTTTCATCCACTGAATCAACTAAATACTTGGGATTGTAAACCCTGCCTGCATGAGCCCTTTGTGGGTCTTCAGACTGCGTGAATGATAACAGTGTCTCCTTGAAAATAATCTCTGAGGTATTTTTTGGTTCCCCTGTACTCTGGGTAAAAATGAACAGTTCCTTTAATCATAAAGTGCATGGAGCTATTAGTTTCAGTACAGTTCATCAGCTACTTCTCCGCAACTAAGTTCAGCACATGACACAAAACTGGACATATGTGTGAGACGTGGTTTATCAGAAAATTCTTTGACTTGTGTACTAGGAAACTTGGCTCTGAAATTCCTCACCAGAATAGCAGAGGTAATGACGAAATGCTGTATGTACCTACCACAGTTGTAACAAAGGACTGTGTGTGAACTATACTTGCCATTGGCAGAGCACTGGCATATATGTTGTAGTCTTTGTACCCACAGTTAGCAGAAAGACCATCTAGTTCTTTGTCTTTTTTTGGAGTAGCCTTGCACTAACCCATAAATTCATACATTGCTTTATTCCCTGGGCTACACGCCAGTATGTGACCCTCCAGAGAAGATGGCTTTGCAGAATCAGTGCAGCTGTTCTGTAGCACTTGGGAATCTGTTACCTATGGGCAATCACCAAGTAGCTAGCTGAGCAAGCAACAAATCTGCTCCCTTCTTGATAGCAGCCACGCAGGGGTAACAAGTAGGCCTGAAAACATAATACAGCAGTGGAACATATTTTCAGAATTGGACACAATGGCTTGCAGACAAATTTGTCTTTTCATGTCAAAGTACGCAACTGTCAGGCTATGTGCAAATGAAGTAACTCTGTGTAGAAAATTTCATCTGTATATGCAGTGGTCCCACTGAGAGACACAATGGACATTGGGTGGATGTGAGTACAAGCACATGCATTCAGCCAAAACTGAAAATGTGGTATCACTTTGAAGGAATCAGCCAGACTATGAGCAGTTTTATTACCCTGGTGATATGCCCTGGTGCTACACACCAAGATATATCTCTCACATGTAATGAAAAAAAATTCCATTTACTTCCTTGAAATTGTATGAGCATTACAGAGTAGAGAAGGAGATCAAAATAAGAAGCCCCTTATTAACTTGCAACATTTTATAAGCCTGTTTGGAGTTAACTCACATAATAACTATACAACTGTGGAGATATTCAAATACATTATGCACCGTGAGGCATCTGATATTGATAAAATCTTGTGACCTTTAGGACTTGCAAAACTAGAAAACAGCAAAGTATCATAAATGGCCAAACATTATACAAAAATCAAGCTTGAGAGAGGACCCAAGACGAAGATTTGTTCTAGACTGTTTGTTAGAAAGGATTGACAGAAGTTGGTACATTCATAACATGTGGGAGGGACGTAGCTCTGAAAGAAAAGAGAGATGGGCAGAGAGAAGCTAAAAGTACCAGGACAGTAAGAAAGCTTACACCACAGTAAAGCAGCTGCTGTCCTGGGAACCTGCAAAGAAGATGCAAGTATGTGCTGTGGTTATGTATGTGATAAAGCAGAAGAAACTGAGGTTAAAAAAAATACCCCTTTGGTTTTTTGTTTTTGGATCATGCTGTCTAGCTCTTGTGTGTCTTCTCTGATGAGCTGCTAAACCAGCTTGCTGCTACTAAAGAAAACAACTAAGTGCCAGGCTACCAGTAGGCAACATACAAAACTCCTCTGTGGTTATGCTGTCGTCATCAAGGCTTCTTTCTGTAGCCATGACATCTCTCTTGCTCACACACTTCCTTGTTATCAGCTCCTAGTCCCAACAATAAGCAACATACAGTGTTGACAGTTGAATCTGTGCAAGTTCTAAGATTTTTCAAGTGGAATGTAGTGATTCTGAGTACCTCTACTTCGGTGTGGCTCTGTTTCATAGGTCCATCTCGGGATGTCTTTGAAGATTTTTATTTCCTGGTAGTGTCTAGGAAAAACAGTGTGGACTTAATTTAGTCAGCCACCCATACTGGCATTTAGAGCTATCTGAGATACCTTAAGGTATCTGAGATAAACCCCAATAGCACAGAAGACCCATACTGTTCTGAAGCAGCAGCTGGAAGTGATGGTCTAGGGTGTCTCCAGGGCATTAGATGCCCAGCTTTGCCATGTAAATTCCATGTCAGCTGTTTCTATGGAAGCAAAATCAAGATTCCAGCAAAGAATTTGTAATTCTTGAAAACCTCAGATCTAGCACTTCAGCTTGTGTGCC